CCCCCCCCACCACTTCCACAGTTCCCCCGGTTGTGGGAGGGGTCCCCGTGTGTTCTTCCACTCTGGGGTCCCCCCCGCGTGCCCCCCGTGCCCCCCCAACCCCCTGTGACCCCCCCGCCCCCCCAGACGGGACCTTCCTGGCCATCGGCTCCCACGACAACTTCATCTACATCTACTCCGTGTCCGAGGGGGGCCGCAAGTACACTCGCTTCGGGCGCTGCACGGTGAGACCTGGGGGAGCTTTGGGGGTCCCCGCGGCCCCCCCCGAGCCCCTCAACACCCCCCTGCCCTCCCTGTGCCCCCCCAGGGTCACTCCAGCTTCATCACCCACCTGGACTGGTCCAAGGACGGGCGGTTCATCATGTCCAACTCGGGGGACTACGAGATCCTCTACTGTGAGCTGGGGGGGCTGGGGGGCACCGGGGGGGGCTGGGGGACCCCCCTGACCCTGCTGGGACCCCCTGGGCTGGGGGGCACCCTCTGACCCTGCTGGGACCCTCCTGACCCTGCTGGGACCCCCTGGGCTGGGGGGCACCCTCTGATCCTGCTGGGACCCCCCTGATCCTGCTGGGGACCCCCTGCCCCTCAGCCCCCATGGATTTTGGGGGTCTCACTGCTCCCCCCCCATGGATTTTGGGGGGGTCTCACGCCCTCCCATGGATTTGGGGGGGTCTCATTGCCCCCCACCCCTCAGGGGACGTCGCCGGGGGCTGTAAATTGCTCCGGAACCGCTTCGAGAGCCGGGACCGGGAGTGGGCGTCCTACACGTGTGTGCTGGGATTCCACGTCTTCGGTGGGTCCGGGGGGGCCCGGGGGGGGGTGGGAGGGGTGTGGGGGGATCCCCCTGACCCCCCTTAATCCCCCCATCCAGGGGTGTGGCCCGACGGCTCCGACGGCACCGACATCAACTCCCTGTGCCGCTCCCACGGCGAGAGGGTCGTGGCTGTGGCCGACGATTTCTGCAAAGTTCACCTGTTCCAGTACCCCTGTGCCCGCCCCAAGGTGGGTCTGGGGGCCCAGACCCCTGGGGGTGCTCTGGGGGGGCAGATCTGTCCTGTTCCAGTGCCCCTGTGCCCGCCCCAAGGTGGGGGGGGGTCAAGGGGAGTCCCAGACCCAGTTTGGGGGTCAGGGGGTTCAGGTGTCTGCCAAGGGTGTGTGCACACGTGTGTGAGGACGTGTGAGCGTGTGAGAACACGTGTGTGTGTGTGAGAACACGTAGGAACGTGTGTGTGAGCACACGTGTGTGTGTGAACACATATGAACCTGTACGAACACGTATGTATGAACCCCCCCTGTCCTTGCAGGCTCCCAGTCATGTGTACGGGGGCCACGTGTGTGTGCTGTATGACCGTGTATGAACACGTATGAACACGTATGACTCCCCGCAGGCTCCCAGTCACGTGTACGGGGGCCACGGCAGCCACGTGACCAACGTGCGGTTCACCCACGACGACGGGCACCTCGTGTCCCTGGGGGGCAAAGACACCAGCGTGTTCCAGTGGCGGGTGCTGGGGGGCGACCCCGACCCGCGCTGAGCCCCCCCCGCCGCCCCCTCCTCCTCCTCGTGCCCTTCCTCGCTGCTTCCTCTTCCCCTTCCCCTGCCCGGGACCAAAGGGGGGGGGG